TCCACGAATTGTCACCAGCGGAAGTTTGCAGCCGAAGGAAACACAACCCTATATTATGACAGACCCCCCGCCACATGCTAAGGTCTTCTGGATGTCCCTTGGTGCAAAACGAGTGTTACGTTGCCTCCAAACACGTATTCGACCATCAACAGTTCGTAGCAGCATTCGACACTCGTCAGACCAATGGATCCTTCTCCAGTTTGCCAAGTTCCATCGACTACAGGCACGACACCATATCAGACGATTCCGCATGTGCCTCTCAGTCAGTTGAGGACGTTTTACTGGTTTTCTGGCGTTATAACCTGCCGCTCTGAGGCGACGCCCTACGGTCATCGTCGAGAGTCTCTGATGGGTAATCCACTGCAGTCTTAAATCTGTTGAAGTGGCAAATGGATTTCGTCTGACTATCCTGAAAAGACGCCTATCCTCTCTGTTAGAGGTCTTTCTTGGCCTACCAGACCTATGCCTGTCATTGACATCATTGGTTTGACCATGTTTGACAATCAAACGAGTGATAACACTGTGATGACGACCCATTTTTCTTGCAATGGCCCTGCATGACATGCCAGCATTTTTCATGCCTATCACTTGCCATCTTTCAGCGTTCCTTAACTTTCTCCTCACCATGGCTGATTTTCAACCTCTATTGGAAGGGGAATCTCACACAGGAGCAAAATGCAACCACGTGTCTGAAACTTGAATTTCACTATTTATAGGGTAGGGGAACAGCAGCAACACGTAAAGCACGCTTTCCTTGTGGTATCTGGACAAATTTGGGTTCATGACACTATGGAAGCCTAATTCAGTCATACATCATCATATTTTGTATTTCTGATTCCACACGTGAAATCAAGAGACTATGAATATGGTGGCGCTTAACTTTTGTACATGTGTATATTTGAACCGCTCGCTGCAATTATAGTTAATTTAAACGCATCTCTTCATCTGCTTGTTCGTACCATGTTTCGTATCCAATCACTTTCCATTAATTCTGTAGCTCTGGTTGACATTGACCTAAATGTCTGTCCAGCTCATCCCACGGAGGCTCAATTGGATTGATATCCTGCGGCCTTGACATTCATGTTCTGGAATCTCGGGAAATCAGTACAGATTCGTGTTGTGTTCGAGTGAGTGAGTGAGTTGGGTTTAACGCCGCTTTTAACAGTATTCCAGTTATATCACGGCGTGTCAGATTAATGTGGGAGGAAAGCCCGAAGTGATGCAGGTCTCAGACGTTTACCACTTTGGTGAAACCCACGAGCACGGGTATGGTGCTGACAAACCTAAAAGCATAATCGGGGCGAACCGGGATTCGAACCCACAATCATAGGTTTCTGGCTTGCCTCATGGACGCAACTCTGCACAGCAAATCGCGGCGCCTTAGTCGACTGGGCCACTCGTGCCCCCTGTTGTATGGGAACGAGCATTGTCATGGGACAACGTTTTGACGTAAGATCTCGACATGATAAGGGACACCTGTTAAGTTGCCCCGGATATGAACAAGATCTGTTACAGATTTATAGATAAGCTTTTGGTTATTTAGGTATTTTACCCAGGGGTTTGATTTTCAGGGGATATTCAATTTTTTTACTCATTTGTTTCTTGACATGGCGGTATTTAACTTAATACCCGTTTCGTAACAATCCCTGTAAATCATTTACAACTATGTGAATACTAGGAAACCCGCCTGCGTCTGATTGCGGCTCCTCCTCCGGGAAGTCATTTATTGTTAACAAAACCTAGCATTGTGAGGAAGGCGTAGTTGTTATTATTACCAATCAGCGACCAATAAAGGTACATGTTCATTGACTAGGCACGATGTGGTTTTCAATTGGCATAGATCGGTGTTTGTCGCAGAAGCTTTAAGTGAATTTGGCGATCAGCTTATACACAATCTTTTCATCGAACAGTTGTAATATATGCAATCGTTTTATCTAAAAGTTCTAATATAAGCATTGCTTTTATTTCAAGCGTATTTATATTTTCATTGCGCATTTAATACCCTAGGATGTGATTTGTCTGCGTATTTCAGTTTATTTAATGCGTATGTTACGCAAATACGCAGCTTATCTCGAGCTCTGAATTGTTATTCACCTATAAGAGACTGCTCCCAACATCCTGCCACTTGCTGCACAGAATCTGTCTCGACTTTTTCTACCCATCTGGTATAACGCTCATTCCGTCACCGATACAATTACAAAGTAACTGACTTAATTTCATTTCTAAAATAATCGCAATCTGGCTGAAGGTAGGCTTGTTATATCTGCCTACCAGCAACGTTATAGTTTAAGACAGCATGTTGTTAACCTTGATCTCAAGTGAGTGAGTGAGTGAGTATGGTTTTACGCCGCTTTTAGCAATATTCCAGCAACATCACGGCGGGGGACACCAGAAATGGGCTTCACACATTGTACCCATGTCGGGAATCGAACCCGGGTCTTCGGCGTGACGAGCGAACGCTTTAACCACCAGGCTACCCCACCGCCCACCTTGATCTCAAGGAAACATGTGAATGCCACAGGCTGTACGTGATTGAAAACACATATCTCATGGATTAATGATGCCTTTGTAGAGATGTGATATTAACCTAAAATGCAATAAAGTCAATATCATTATTATGATTATTATCATCATCGCCATTCTGACTTTTTACATGTGTCCGTTATGATTTTTGTGTGTGGCCATTTTGACTTTTTTTGTGGCCGTCTTGACAACCCCACGTATCTGCCCATCTCATCTTTGAAGAAGGAAAAGCCAACTTTGGGGAGGACATTGATGATGTTAACGACACCACTGCTGCTGACGTAGTAAGGTCTTCTGCTTGGATTACGAAGAATCTGTGCATATGCGGGACGTAGGCCAGGGATTTGTTACAGACATACAGAGAGTGCCCCGTTTCGTAGATGAAAGACACTGATTTAGCTCATCCATTTTGTCAAGCTCCTCATTCCCACTGTTCATACATCCTCTATATCTCCAGGGCTTGCATTTCGGTAAACCAACACTAACACCCGGATCCATTCCCATGGTTCTTGCGATCGCAAATTACCCGCCCTTGATTTTCATTAACATTTTACCGACCAATCAAACGTCGACATACAGGGTAAGGGAGGTAACTCGTATTACCTCGAAAAAACAATGCCATCGCTAGTTTTAATGGACCTGGAGACATCCTTTCCATCAAAACTATTTGTGAGGGCTTTGTCCTGTGTGTCAGTAAGTTTTTCAATGTTGCATTTCTTGCAAACGCGATTATAATCAAAGAGACTGGCCAACACAACTGGTTTGTAACATGCATCCTGATTGGTACAATAGACCTAGTAGCGGTGCCAATCAAATTGGCAAATGGAAATCAAAGGCGGGTAATTTGAGATAGCGAGGAGAACGACGGGAATGAATCTTGGGGTTAGTGTAGGTTTACTGAAATGCTAGCCCTTGAGATATAGAGGATGCTGTTAATAACAGTCAGTGTTCAACAGCACTGTACCAAGATTGTCTTCAACAGCACCACACTGAGATTCAGTCTTCAACAGCACTGTACCAAGATTGTCTTCGACAGCACCGCACTGAGATTCAGTCTTTAACAGCACTGTACCAAGATTGTCTTCAATAGCACCGACATGAGGTTCTGTTTTCAACAGCACTGTACCAAGATTGTCTTCGACAGCACCGCACTGAGATTCAGTCTTCAACAGCACTGTACCAAGATTGTCTTCAACAGCACCGCACTGAGGTTCAGTCTTCAACAGCACTGTACCAAGATTGTCTTCAACAGCAGCGCACTGAGGTTCAGTCTTCAACAGCACTGTACCAAGGTTCAGTTTTCAACAGCAATGCACTGAGTCTCAGTCTTCAACAGCACTGTACCAAGATTGTCTTCAACAGCACCGCACTGAGGTTCAGTCTTCAACAGCACTGTACCAAGGTTCAGTTTTCAACAGCAATGCACCGAGTCTCAGTCTTCAACAGCACTGTACCAAAATTGTCTTCGACAGCAATGCACTGTGGTCCTTTTTTCAACAGGCTAGCACCAGGCTGACCCTACTCTCTAAACTGAAGACAGGAACCCTTTGTGTCCAGTATCAGACTTAACATTTCTGTAGGAAATACATTAATTAGACAGTCACTTTTTTGTTTTCTTATTCTTTTTTATTCAGTCAGAAATGTCCATATCTGCAGCTAGTTTGAAAACAATAACCATGTCATCCATTACATATCATCAAACAACATTAAGTTCTTCAGGTCTCGAAATGAATTAATTCCCCAAAGCATGAATAATATTATAATCAGCTTATCTCATCCTGTTGCAACAAATCGTATCTGACATGTCAGGACACCTACAGGCACCTAGCCTTGGCGAGACACTGTATCTCATCTTCCCAGGCAAGAGAGTTAACTGACTGTAAAAGTCCAGTTTCCACCCTTGCCGAACTAGGCTGGAATTACTGGGCTCGATCGTAGCGCCACCAGTGGCTATTATCAGTTATGTCCCTTATAAGCCTCGCCTATGGACCAATCAGATTCCAGACTCTCGTATCGCTTGCTTTTGCTTCACACAAAATGGTGGTGCCGAGTCAGGACGGTCTGATCGATAATCAAGATCTATATTGTGATAAAACGGGTCTTACATCGCGAAATGCATTAAATCAAGTGAGCACTTTGATTAAAAACATGAAAAGATTTGGAAAATATCTGCAAACAACGAGTTGGCGGTGCTCAGGTTTGGCAAATCCTGCAATCGACCGAAATCTGCATGACAGTTTACGAACCGGGTTTCGATTCCGGTGCGCCATTTTGATTGGACTAAGCATAGACTCGTTAGTGCAGCCAAAATGTAACTCCATAATACCAGCCTAGTTCGGCAAGGGGGGAAACTGGACTTTTATAGTCAGTTAACTCCCTTGCCTCGGGAAGATGCTGTATCTTGACTGGGAAAGACACCAGTCCACTAGTCCAAAGACGAGAGGAAACTTGGAAGGACTATTTGTTTTCTACCACAATTTGATTGTGTTACATGTAACAGGTTCAAATAAGCTGGGTATGTTTGTGAGAGTGGCCTGTAATCCAGACCAGACAATCCAGTGATTAATATTTGTAAGCAACAATCCACACCATCAACCAAGTCATGACATGCAATCAACCAAGTCTCAGAGCCTGACCACCCAATCCATTTTGTCACCTCTTAGGGCAAGCATGGGTTGCTGGGGATCTTTTCTAACCAGGAATTCCAATGGCGTCAAATGAGATGTGAACTATTTGGACATAATAAATATCAAGCTTTCACCTGCATCTGAAGACACATACACATATATCTATACTTCAGGCAAAATATTACAAATTCACCATTTTGTCCATACTGTTTATGTTAATGTTGAGAGATTCATTTGTTTTTTCCCGATTCAACTCCGAAGATTCAAACATGACTTGGGGATGTTCGGCTTCAGATCCCGTTTCTCATTTCTCTGTACGTCCACAGTCTGTACACATAACACAAACAACTGTACACAGCTCATTCCTATGATGTGTTCGAAGGCTTGGTTTTTAACTGAAGTCCGTGCATTTCCTTTATTTCTTCTGACAGAGCCTGGAACAAAGAATACGAAGAATATATGTACATCCTGTGCTGTGGCATATTTGTTCATATGTTAGATTATGTTATGTTTTTTTAGTTGGACAACTTATGTTTTGTCTGACTGTTTTACAAGCAAGTGAAATGAGGACAAAAATCACAAGATTTGTCACCACTGCTCGTACAAATGATGAATAATACGTATAAAAATCTTTATTCCAAAAAAAAGCATTGAATTATTTTTTGGTGTCTTGCTGTTAAAACTTGTCATTCATTATAGAAGTATTAATCTGAAAGTTGAGTTTTGCCTTTGCATGTGTTCGTTACCTGTGTCACAGGTGGGGAAGGATAAGCTCACCTTTTCACGAACACCTGGTATCATCACAATTTGATAGTGATTCAGCTCAGGATATAGGCAGAATTGCAAAATGATTTTTAATGATCAGGAAAGGTTTTGTGTCGCTTTATTGACAATTTAAAGACTCACCTTGTTCACCATCCTCTGTTGTTGCAGTGTGGTCTTGCCCTGGAACTCACTGGCTTCTATTGATATCTGATACATAGCTCCACACCCTCCTAGTGAGAACAAAACACAAGAGGTACTTGACCACACAACTACTTCAAAGGACACAATCAATAAGGATAAGTTGATTAAGTGTATGTTAAAACAAAGAGATACAGGTTGTAAAATCTATACAGAGCTCAAGGTAACTTTTTGAGCAATTGAGTGTTACTCGAAGGTTTCTAATTTAAGTGGGTTACATTTTTACAAAATTACATTTTTCATTGGGTAACGAATATTTTTTCACTATCTATTCATTACTCTATTGGGATTTTCCCAAAATGAGTAAGCATTTTGAGATTTTATGAAAAATGAAATAACGTTTTAGATGTATGTAAGGGTTTTAAATATAGGCTTGAATCGGAAAGTAATTTAGCTCGGAAGCATGTTTCGGAAATTAGCTCTGTTGTACGAATGCTGAAAAAGCTCTGTCTATAACTTTGGTGAAATCCCTTAGCATGGCTTGTTTGTGCCCCAAGACCATGACCTAGAGATCTTTCAGACCTGGCATGGGGTCTACTCCCCGGGGAGTTGAGAATGATATTTGAGTGCACACAGACCCAAAGGCCAGGGTAATAATAATGTAGAGTCATGAGCCTTCACTTGACGTTATTGATATTATTCTTAAATATATAAAAGTGAGTGAATAAGTGAGTTGGATTTAACGCCACTTTTAACAGTATTCCAGTTACATCGCGGCATGTCAGCTTAATGTGGGAAGAAAGCCCGAAGTGATGCAGGTCTCAGACTTTACCACTTCGGTGAAACCCACGAGCACGGGTATGGTGCTGACAAACTTAGAAACATAATCGGGGCGAACAGGGATTCAAACCCACAAACATAAGTTTCTGGCGTGCCCAAGAGACGCAACTCTGCACAGAGAATCGCGTCTGCCTTAGACGACTGGGCCACCCATGCCCCCTAAATAAATATAAGGTACTGAATTGTTGTGAATAGTTCGACATGACTAACCTGATATATCGGCAACCTGTACCGAAGTCGCCCCGGGGAACTTCACTCTGAGAACATCTATGAGTTTTTTCTCTCCTCGTGTCAGCTCGGGTGGAGCCTCGCTATTCAGACAACATCGAGGATGATTTGATACTGGAAATCTCCAGATCTGTGGGAACAGAGTGTGAGTGACCAAGAGTGAACAAATTTGACTGATAAAATAATTAAGAGGCACTGTTATTTCATTGTCTGTTACTTCACCATAAGCAAAAGAGTTTGGTTTTATGCCGTCCTGAACAGTATTTCAGTTAAAGTAATGACGTGTCAGCTTAATGTGGGAAGTAATAAAGGTCTAAGGCATTTAGAACCTTGGTGAAACCCTCATGCACAGGTGTGGTGCTAATGAACCTAGAATTGTAATCAGGATGAATCTGGGATTCAAACCCCCAGAAACTTGAAGTCAACGGTGCCACCCAAGCCCCTCACCAAATGGGACTACAAGAAACTACGGTTATAACGAACACGCTTATAACGAACTGACCGATATATCAAACTTATTTTTAGTCCCGACCATTTGTTGTATAAATGCTGTTTATATGCTTATAACGAACTACGGTTATTACGAACTAAAATTAGTGGTCCCTTCGAGTTTGTTATAACCGTAGTTTACTGTATTTATTAATTTTTATATATGATTTCTTATTGAAACAATTCATTTACTGTTATACCTGCTGTTTTTTTACAGAATCAGTGTCTACTGGAGGGGATGTACAGTTGTCACTCTTTTGGGGGCTAGACTGGAGTTACACAAGTGTCTGAGGTTGATTAGGGTGGTGCTGAATCTGCATAATTTGAGTTTTGAAGGGATTGGAATGTTTAGTGACATCGTCTGCAATCTGCCCAGTAGTTCACTGGATATGGATCGAAACAAACATCTATGCTCTATGCGATTGTCCCACCAACTGCTCACCAACACTCAATGATGTAAACTGTCCCAGAAAATGACCATGTTCCTCATAGTGATACATGTACATTTAGATCTAGTGGTAATGCCGCTTAAAAGTTTCACACCATGTGCCATAAAAAGTACTTTACAAATGAATAATGTCAATAACATAACTAAACATTGGTGGCAACGTACCATTTGCCTTTTCGTTAGGAAGCTCCGAATCATCGTGACTTGTCTCGTGACAAAGGTCAACACTCTCTCTCCCTTTGCACGGGGACCAGTAAGTACCAAATGAAACCAAATATTGGAGAATTTGCAATAATTATCTTTTTTTGCTAATAAAGTATTACAGAAACGCTAAAGGACAACCAAAATATTTTTAACAAGTTGTGTGGAACGCGCGTGTACTTTTATTGCATGTTGACAATCTCAGTTATTATTGTCAATGGCATCTCCCTGAAATGCATCCGGGCGTTTTCAAAATGTCAGCGCTCATGGATAAGTGTTGTGGACCGGTGATTAGGGCAGTGTACCAAAATGTACGGTTACAATTTGCATTAGTTAGACAGTGGCGATGCAGCGTGATTATATTCGGGAGAGTTTTAATAATCAATCACAGAAAAAAAATGATGAATAAATCAGATCCCTGACGTAGGGGCGGGGAGGGTAACTCGGGTACTCAGGTTGCATGGGTGGGTCCTGTGGCTGTGTAGGACCCGGATACCCACAGGACTACCCGGATCCGTGGTTATTCATGTGATTTATTTTTTAATGACAATAACATTAAAATTTCAAGACAACACAAGTACAGGTCGCTAATGTTCGCATTTCTTTCTGACTGCACACACAGACACCATATGCCGATATACAAGGGTAAATACCGGTATATGGTCTCTGGCACACATAATAAATGAGCGGTAGAAACAAACATCTTAGTCCACTTGTCCTTATAGCCTGCAACCTCGAGGGTGTCAATCACTGGATCGTCTGGCCCAGACTCGATTAATTACAGACCACCGTCATATAGCTGGAATATTGCTGAGTGCGGCGTTAAACAACAAACAAACAAACAAAGCCTGTGCTCCTTTGATGATCAGTTCCAAATGCGTGTCTGTTTTGTGATGATCTCATTATGCTTATTTGCACCTTTTCCACCAGTAATGGAAATGAAATACTTCTATGATGTCAGCCTAACCTTTATATACAGTGAAAACTAGTTGCTTAGGATGGAACTGTTCATGCAGTTGTTAGAAATTGAAGTCTAGGGACCCCCAATCTCATTAAAATCAGATCTTAGTTCTCGCTACCGCTAAAAACGATCAGAGGACATCCCATTAGGGGTTACGTCAGAACGACCTTTCATCTGACTAATCAGAGCGTCGGTTACCAGATCATGAAAGTGACCGTTGGAATGTGATTTCTAATCATGCAACTTCGAAAACTTTAACACGGTGTATTCAGAACGATAGTTACATGCGTAACGACTGAATCCATACAATATAGACCATCTATTAGCCATTCCAGAATGTTCCTATGTTCAGGTTTAAATTTTTTTCTCGAGAATTTGTCAAAATGTTTCGAAGTGTAGTCGCCAATTTGAAATTAGTGCCGTAAAGCACGAGAAAGCTGCCTTCTGATTGTCTAATGTCGACTTCTTGTCAGTCATTTCATTGGTCGGTCAAAGTTCGCGCAATGTTGGTCCTCGGTAATGGGATGTCCTCAGATCTTTGTTTAGCGGTAGCGAGAACTAAGATCTGATTTTAATGAGATTGAGGGACCCCAAAATCTTCAAGATTTGGATTTAGGGTTATGACAAAGACTTCTTGGTGTTTTAATCTTGCTTTATTTATGTCAGACATATAGGGAGCCAGCTGGCCCAGTCGTCTAAGGGTCGTCTACGGGTTGTCTACATCTTCCTGAGACAAGAGAGTTTTATGACCATAAAAGTCCAGTTTCCACCCTTACCGAACTAGGCTGGTTTTATGGAGTTAGATTTTGGCTGGACTTTCGAGTTTATGCATAGTCCAATCAAAATCATTCAAAGAAATCGAAGCAACTACAAGTGAAATGAGAGGTGGAATCTGATTAGTCCATAGGTGAGGCATAGAAGGGATATAACTCATAATAGCCACTGGTGGCGCTTTGATCGAGTCCTGAAATTCCAGCCTTGTTCGGCAATGGTGGAAACTGGACTTTCAAAGTCAGCTAACTCACTTGCCTCAATAAGATGGGTCGCTGCAATTCACTGTGTAGAGTTGCATCCTTTGGGCAGGCCAGAAACCTATGGATCACCTGATTATGTTTCTATGTTTGTCAGCACTAATCCATGCTCGTTGGTTTCACCAAAGTGGTAAACGTTTGAGACCTGCATCACTTCGGGCTTTCCTCCCTGATTAAGCTGACAATGGAAAACAACTTGAATACTGGTCAGTGCAGTGTTAAACCCACCTGGGTTTTCAAGTGTAATTGACTTGTATTTAGGGTTTCCAGACTATAAGCGTTACGTGGACATTATTTGTTATGATTATGAACATGATCATGACTTTGCAGGCAAGTTGTTCATGGAAAGTTTCTTGTTTAAGACTATAGAAATTATAAAAAATACTGTCAAAATGGTCAACTATCTTAACCACAATAAAACTCACGAGTCCTTCAAGGTAAACTACAGAACATCCTGTTTCTTTCCTAGAGTAAATGCAGGCATGTACGCTACAACAGCTACAAGCCCTTGGCACACGCAAAACACTTCCCTTCCGTCTCAACTCCAATGTTGCCACCGGGCACATTTGATGGCAAGACGGCATTCATCACGGGAGGAGGAACTGGTCTGGGAAAGGGCATGGCATTGTGTTTGTCTCAACTTGGCGCCAGAGTGGCCATTTCAGGCAGGTGAGTTACCAAAACTACCAACTCTATTTAAATCCATGAAAAACTATTTTGTGCTGATTGTTATTTCAGATAAATTCCTGTATTTCAAATGAAGAAAGTCTTTTTGTCTTGGAATTTTTCCTTGGTTGATCTACTCTTTGATAATATATTGAAATATTTTCTGGATGATTTTCTTCATTGAACAAGCAATTAATATTATATCTGTGTGTTAACTTTGTCTTGCTGTATAAATTGTCAACTTCATGTAGATCTTCAGTCAGACTTGTAGTCCAACTGCTTGTGCACTGACAACTGTGAGCAGGATGTGCTGTTTGGAGGAAATACCCAGAGGTTGAGCAGGAAGCAGCTCACCTCATGTATATCTGAGATGGAAAAGCCACTCATCGTTCTATTTGTGATGTTAGTGAGTGAGTATGGTTTAACGCCGCTATTTTTAGCAATATTCCAGCAATTTCACGGCAGGGGACAGTAGAAAAGGGCTTCACACATTGTACCCATGTGGGGAATCGAACCCAGGCCTTTGGCCTGACTAGCGAATGCTTTAACCACTAGGCTACTCAACTGGCTCTTGCGATGTCAGATTAGGTATTCGGGTCATTGTGTATTTACTGTTTATATGTTGTGTATTAAATGTAAAGGAACAGCTAATTTCCTCGAGACAGCTCAATGTCAGAATACTTTGACATGTTTAGTGGTTATTTATTTCTAGAAAAATGGAGCCATTGCAACAAACAGCAGCAGAAATAAGTGGCCTAACTGGAAATAAGGTAAAACATATGAGGACTCAGTTTTATATGCACACAGTATAATGACAATGGCATTTTCGCAAATCTGGCTATTTGACTTGTAATCTATGGTTTGTGCCATCATTGCTTCATTTTCACAATAGTGAGTGAGTTAGTGAGTTGGGTTTTAACGCTGCTTTTAACAGTATTCCAGTTATGTTGCAGCAAGAGCTTAATGTGGGAGGAAAGCCTGAAGTGATGCAGGTCTCAGACATTTACCACTTCGGTGAAACCCACAAGCACGGGTAGGGTGCTGACAAACCTAGAAACATGATCGGGGGGAAACGGGATTGGAACCCATAATCATAGGTTTCTCATGCCAAAGGGACGCAACTCTGACATGACACTTCTATTTTCTCAGTAAACATTTACTCATACCAGCAGACTTCTTTAATATAATCCCAGTGAATATCTGGGTTAGAACTGATGTTCAGCAACCCATGCTTGTTGTTAAGAGGTAATTAACGGGATTGGGTGGTCATGCTCGCTGACTTGGTTGATTCTTGTCTTCGTATCCCAATTGGGTGGATTGATGTTCGTGATGTCAATCACTTGATTGACTGGTCCAGATTTGATTATTTACAGACTGCTGTCATATAGCTCGAATATTGCATGTCTGTGACGTTATACAACATAGAAATAAGATCCTGTATATAACTGGAGTTGACTATGACAGTAATATTGCAAATGTTTATATTAGTATTGCTAAAAGTGAAGATTCTGGATCAACTGTACTGTACTGTTTTGTGTTCTGTAGGATGTAATGAGAACTGGTACTCACCATTCAACTGCTAAGGGAGATAACTCTCATCAACAGAATGTTTTAAATGTTTATGTTGGGCAACTTTTTCCACAACTAATAAAAAGTACTATGTACTTTAATAAAGATATCTAATAATCAGCATTGCATCTAGCATCTTGGCTGTGACAGTGTCAATGAATTGACAATGTAAACTTGTCAGGCCCACTAGGAAAATAGATTTGTTTATTCTTAATTAAATTCCAACTCAATCATTTCATTTGTATGCCAGGTGCTTCCAATATCTGCAGATGTGAGGGATGAGGCTGCTGTGACACAAGCCCTTGACAAAATCACATCTGAGTTTGACCTACCTACCATCATCATCAACAATGCTGCGGGGAACTTCATCTCCCCAACGGAGAGGTTGTCCTACAATGCATGGAAGACGGTGGTTGATATTGTTCTGAATGGCACAGCCAACGTCACATTGCAAGCTGGGAAGAGGCTGATTGATGCCGGAAAAGGTAAAACAGCAGGATCGCTGTGTTTTGTCGTGTTGCCTTCAGCAAGGTCAACGAAGTTGAAGGACTCTGAGTGTGCGCTAGCGAGACTTCCCTTTATACGGGGAGCTAGCACAGAAGTCCAGAGGGCGCTGATTTTTACAAACAATATTTCCTGCGTGCCGCACACTTGACCACATCATTCATCTTTGTCCCTCCTTTTGATCAAGACCCGTGAAGATTCCGGGGTAGAATAGGTCTTCAGCAACCAATGCTTGCCGTAAAAGGTGACTATGCTTGTGGTAAAAGGCGACTAACGGGATCGGGTGGTCAGGCTCGCTGACTTGGTTGATGCATGTCATCGTATACCAATTGCGTGGATCGATGCTCATGATATCAATCACTGGATTGTCTGGTCCAGACTCGATTATTTACAGACCGCCGTCATATAGCTGGAATATTGCTGTGTGCGGCGTTAAACAACAAATCAACCAACCAACCTTTTGATCAAGTATTTTATGTATACTTTTATTAAGGACTACCCTCATGGGCTAGTGGATAGAACATATGCCCAGAGAGTGGAAAGTGATGGTTCGATACCCGGCTGTGTCATCCCAAAAGATGTTAAAATATGGTAGTTGTTGTTACTCGCCTCGCGCTCAGCATTACGGGGATAAAACAAGGACTGGTGGATTCGGAGTCAGTATACTATGTCAGAGTGGGGTATTCATGTTAAACTACGGCCGCATGGTATCTCAATGGGATAGCACTATAATACCAGCATTATTCCGGGCTATTACAATCTACCACGCACACAAGCACACACACATGCATGAACATCGCTATTCAAGCACAATAATCTTGAATATGACATTAAACCCCCTTTCACATCACCTTATAAACTTACAAGTTTGTTGTTTGATTTTGATTGTATCTCTTTAGTTTTCTTCTAAAAAAGAGTTGTAGGCCAATAAAAATGAATTTGATCAATATTTATTTTTGTCTGTCTCTGGTAAACTGATAAGACAAAAAGTGTCTTACCTAAGATTCAGAAAAAGGCTCCAGATGCAGGAGGTGAGGTGAGGTGAGGTGAAATTGGGTTTAACGTCGCGTCCAAGATTATTGCACTTATACCGTGTCTGTTTGTTTGTCTGTGTGGCTGCTTGTACTAGTCCGGACTAAATGCCGATTTATAGTGCTAGCCCTCTGTGAAGCTTTGTCGCAGTTTTAACATGAATACCCCACTCAGACACAGTATACTGTCTCTGAGCCGACCAGTCCTTCTGTTAGCCCCTTAATGATGAGCGCCAGACAGGGTAACAGCACAACAAGTACAATCATTTAACGTCTTTTGGTATGACGCGGATGTGGATCGAACCCCTACCTTCTGCTCTCCTGGCGGACGCTCTACCACTTGGCCACGGAGGCTGACTCTAGATGCAGGAAGGGAAATGATGCTGATATGGTCCTGTTTCAGGAGCAGCATTTTTGTCCATATCAACTGATTATGCAGAGACTGGTTCAGGATTTGTTGCACCAAGCTCCGCAGCCAAGTCAGGTGTTGAAGCACTCACAAAGTAAGTAGATATTTTACTATGGGGATTCTGTCTGCCACTAGCCACCATGACCCCTGTGACATCGGGTGTCGGGAGACATGCCATTGTCTTTGAACATCCTCCAGGGCTGATGGTACTGTGGGGAGGAAGACATCAGTCATGGGAGTGCCCTTGGGTCATGCAGGATAAGTATATTATGGAGTATTTTTAACTTATCCTGCAGTATCTCCGATACAGAGCATGGGTTCACTGCTCCCTAGCCATCTCTTGGGCAGATCTGAATGCATGTACACCGGTATGACTGCTCCCTCGGGTGCTTTGCAAGATCTCCAACAACCAATCAATGCTCATGATGTCAATCACTGGATTGTCTGGTTCAGACTTGATTATTTACAGACCGCCGTCATATAGCTGGAATATTGCTGAGTGTTAAACAACAAACAAACAAACTTTGGTACTTATTTGGAGAATTTGACAAACAAGGTCAAGGGCAGCTCTGGTAATTTTGAGGGAGAATTCAAGCCAACAAAGGATCATTTTGAATATTTTGTCACCAAACCATTTATGTTGAAGAAGTCGTTATCTTTTTCTTATTTAGGCTTAAAAAAATACAAGGATTGGTTCTCATTCAATGACTTTTGAAAATATAGTGCGGGCGGCTGGTGTTTTTTTTATTTGCTTGTTCAAACTACAATGTAGTATGTAACCAAATAAACAGTTGTGTACCATCAACCTGGGAAAGGGCCTTCCTACATAAAAAGCATACAAACTCCTATTGCCGCCATGACTATAACACGAGATTCACAGTAAAGCAGTGCACATGTAAAGGGAAGTAACTGTGTGTTATGAGTGCGACGTTAAACAACAAACAAACAAACTAACAAACAGAACTTGATGCAACAATGAATAAACAATAACAACAACATAGTAGATAGACAGGCCATAGATTAATGACATAGTTTTCAAATTAAGTGCACCTGACTGCCTGTACATCATGTGACGTGGAAGATCTGGGGTAGAATTTGTCTTCAGCAACCCATACTTGCCGTGAAAGGTGACTATGCTTGTTGTAAGAGGCGACTAGGTGGCCAGATTCGGTGACTTGGTTGATGCTCATGATATCCACCACTGGATTATTGTCAGACCGCCGTCATATAGCTGCAATATTGTGCGGCGTTAAACAACAAAAAAAACAAAAAAATGTACATCATGCAGGTATTCAACACCCCTGTTTATAAATATGTTTGAGTTGTCTGTGAAATGCGAAAGTTCTTCTTAATCTAATTTCTCTTGTCTGGTATTGCCTAGATCTCTAGCTGCTGAATGGGCCAGGTATGGATTCAGATTCAACTGTCTGTCTCCCGGCGCTATTGAGACAAAGGTAAGTGGACATCACCGCTGTGACCCCCACAGGGATTCAGGGCTTTAATTGGTTCCCAGCAACCAATGCTGGTAGTAAGACGTGACTTAACAGATCAGCTGGTCAGAATCAGTGACTTGGTTGAATTTGTTTCATCATACCCCGACAATGTGGATCATTGATCATAAGATTTTGTTTGTTTGTTTGTTTGTTTGTTTTTTGTTTAACGCCGCACTCAGCAATATTCCAGCTATATGACGGCGGTCTGTAAATAATCGAGTCTGGACCAGACAATCCAGTGATTGACATCATGAGCATCGATCCACGCAATTGGGATCGATGACATGTATCAACCAAGTCAGCGAGCCTGACCACCCAATCCCGTTTGTCTCCTTTTACGACAAGCATAGTCACCTTTTACAGCAAGTATGGTATGCTGAAGACCTATTCTACCCCGGAATCTTCACAGGTCTGCTCGTAAGAACGGTCATTGGACTTTGCTTGTCTTAAGAGGCGACTAACAGGATCAGGTGGTCAGGTTCGCTTGCTTGGTTGATGCATGCAAGTGTGTGGATCGGTGCTGATGATATCAGTCACTGGATTGTCTGGACTTGATTATATTCAGGCTGCCGTCATATAGCTGGAATACTGCTGAGTGCAGCATCAAACGACAAACTAACAAACTAACACTTTGTGAGTGATTGGAAATTATTTTTGACTTTTGTGACAATATTCAAGAAATATCCTTCTAGGGGACACCAAATCAAACCCAGGTGTCCGGCCAGACAAGAAATGTTTTGACCTGTAGGCTGCCCCTTCATTTCTGCCCATGTTGATCAGCATATGATATGGTTATCGTAAATGTTGTTCATGTTATCAACCACTGGTTTTCCTGCCTCAATTTGAGATATAGCTTATGTAGTTTTCATTCACTCATTCACTTGAGATATAGGACCCATGAAGATTCCGGGGTAGAACCCAGCAACCCATGCTTGTCGTAAAAGGCGACTTATGGGGTCGGGTGGTCAGGTGGTCAGGCTCGCTGACTTGGTTGATACATGTCATCGATACCAATTGCGTGGATCGATGCTCATGGTGTCAATCACTGGATTGTCTGGTCTAGACTCGATTATTTTACAGACCGCCGTCATATAGCTTGAATATTGCTGAGTGCGGCGTTAAACAACAAACAAACAAACTTGAGATATAGCTGATGTAGCATTCATTCACTCAACCTCCTAACCAACACTCACTCACTCACTCACTCACTCACTCACTCACTCACTCAAAAGAGTTGTCGAGTTTACTTCACTTCCTTAGAGTGAAACCTTTTAAGATTTGGTAATAGATTCCACCAAACCTAAATTAATTAACAGTGGTAAAAAATGATCGAAAAATACAACTTGTTGATACAATAGGATCAGGAAGATCCACAAGGTAACCACTGCTCCCATGGCAACACATTCAGATTAATAATAACAACAAATCTGAATTATGGTCTTCATTCTATGTTTTCCCACCGAGCAACAAGGATTTTTCACAGTAAAATTTGAAAACAAAGAAATAAGAAAAGTCTGTTCTAGGTGCAATGTCACATGCCTTATATCAGCCATCAATAAGATGACATCCAAACCTTGTGTTTCAGGGAGCATTCAGTCGACTTGACCCAACTGGTCAGTTTGTACAGAAGTTCGTCCATCGTGTCCCAACTGGACGTCTCGGGCAAGTGCCGGAACTGGCCAACCTGGCAACCTACCTGGTCAGCGACTATGCCAGCTGGATCACTGGACAGGTACAACTGACTTCTTGTAGATTGCAGTGTGGTGGAGACACTGACTTCTTGTAGATTGCAGTTTGGTGGAGACACTGATCACTTGTAGTGTTGCAGTGTGGTGGAGACACTTGTAGTGTTGCAGTGTGGTGGAGACACTGATCACTTGTAGTGTTGCAGTGTGGTGGAGACACTTGTAGGGTTGCAGTGTGGTGGAGACACTTGTAGGGTTGCAGTGTGGTGGAGACACTTGTAGTGTTGCAGTGTGGTGGAGACACTTGTAGGGTTGCAGTGTGGTAGAGACACTGATCACTTGTAGTGTTGCAGTGTGGTGGAGACACTTGTATGGTTGCAGTGTGGTGGAGACACTTGTAGGGTTGCAGTGTGGTGGAGACACTTGTAGTGTTGCAGTGTGGTGGAGACACTTGTAGGGTTGCAGTGTGGTGGAGACACTGATCACTTGTAGTGTTGCAGTGTGGTGGAGACACTTGTAGGGTTGCAGTGTGGTGGAGACACTTGTAGGGTTGCAGTCTGGTTGAGACACTTGTAGGGTTGCAGTCTGGTTGAGACACTTGTAGGGTTGCAGTGTGGTGGAGACACTTGTAGGGTTGCAGTGTGGTGGAGACACTTGTAGGGTTGCAGTGTGGTGGAGACACTTGTAGGGTTGCAGTGTGGTGGAGACACTTGTAGGGTTGCAGTGTGGTGGAGACACTTGTAGGGTTGCAGTTTGGTGGAGACACTGACCACTTGTAGTGTTGCAGTGTGGTGGAGACACTTGTAGTGTTGCAGTGTGGTGGAGACACTTGTAGTGTTGCAGTGTGGTGGAGACACTGACAACTTGTAGTGTTGCAGTGTGACGGAGACACTTGTAGGGTTGCAGTGTGGTGGAGACACTTGTAGTGTTGCAGTGTGGTGGAGGCACTTGTAGTGTTGCAGTGTGGTGGAGACACTTGTAGTGTTGCAGTGTGGTGGAGACACTGACAACTTGTAGTGTTGCAGTGTGGTGGAGACACTTGTAGGGTTGCAGTGTGGTGGAGACACTTGTAGTGTTGCAGTGTGGTGGAGGCACTTGTAGTGTTGCAGTGTGGTGGAGACACTGACAACTTGTAGATTGCAGTTTGGTGGAGACACTGATCACTTGTAGTGTTGCAGTGTGGTGGAGACACTTGTAGTGTTGCAGTGTGGTGGAGACACTGATCACTTGTAGTGTTGCAGTGTGGTGGAGACACTTGTAGGGTTGCAGTGTGGTGGAGACACTTGTAGGGTTGCAGTGTGGTGGAGACACTTGTAGTGTTGCAGTGTGGTGGAGACACTTGTAGGGTTGCAGTGTGGTGGAGACACTGACCACTTGTAGGGTTGCAGTGTGGTGGAGACACTGACCACTTGTAGTGTTGCAGTCTGGTGGAGACACTTGTAGGGTTGCAGTGTGGAGGAGACACTGACCACTTGTAGTGTTGCAGTGTGGTGGAGACACTTGTAGTGTTGCAGTGTGGTGGAGACACTTGTAGGGTTGCAGTGTGGTGGAGACACTTGTAGTGTTGCAGTGTGGTGGAGACACTGACCACTTGTAGTGTTGCAGTCTGGTGGAGACACTTGTAGGGTTGCAGTGTGGAGGAGACACTTGTAGGGTTGCAGTGTGGTGGAGACACTTGTAGTGTTGCAGTGTGGTGGAGACACTTGTAGTGTTGCAGTGTGGTGGAGACACTGACCACTTGTAGGGTTGCAGTGTGGTGGAGACACTTGTAGTGTTGCAGTGTGGTGGAGACACTTGTAGGGTTGCAGTGTGGTGGAGACACTTGTAGTGTTGCAGTGTGGTGGAGACACTTGTAGGGTTGCAGTGTGGTGGAGACACTTGTAGGGTTGCAGTGTGGTGGAGACACTTGTAGTGTTGCAGTTTGGTGGAGACACTTGTAGGGTTGCAGTGTGGTGGAGACACTTGTAGGGTTGCAGTGTGGTGGAGACACTGACCACTTGTAGTGTTGCAGTGTGGTGGAGACACTTGTAGGGTTGCAGTGTGGTGGAGACACTTGTAGGGTTGCAGTGTGGTGGAGACACTTGTAGGGTTGCAGTGTGGTGGAGACACTTGTAGGGTTGCAGTCTGGTGGGGACACTGACCACTTGTCAGCATAGAAATGATAATAAGTCACGAGTCTTGACAGAAATGAAGTATGAACTGGGTGCATTTAGATCACAGTCTGTTATCCTGCGTATGCTCTTGTCAGTCACCACAATTCAGAATAGGGGATACCAATGGGTTTAGGGCAGTGCAGTACAGAGTTGTGTCCCTTAGCTGCCGGGATATACCCGACAAAGTGGAAATTGCAGATCCTGCCTCTGTTAGTGTGGCATGTATGTTGCAGGTGGTGAGACTGAATGGGGGCGAGTACCCGGCCTCCTCAGGGATGTTCAGCCCACTGGTACAGGTGACGAAGGAACAGTGGGATCAGCTGGAGGCCATGATCAGAGGGGTGAAAGGATCGTGAACCTAGTCCAGGACCGTCCACACCTCTTCATAGAGTCCCTCTACATTAGTGCATAGATTGTTTATTGACCAGAGCCCACTTGCACAAAGGAATCTTAGCGCTACGACTATTGTAAGCGTGTGTTAAAGCATGGGAGTTACGATCATCTTAGCGCTTTGTGCAAGTGGGCCCAGGTCATCTGGATCTGATTAATGAGAATGGTTGAAGATGGCTGAACATGGCTGTGTGTTTGAATGATTCTTTGTATAATTGGAAGAAATATTTGTGTATGTGATGAGAACCGATGCTTGATTGATGACTTATTGAGGCATTGGAGATGAACCGGAAGTACCTCATGATGGTTTAAATGACATGATAGAACAAATCCATTACTCACTGCACAAGTCAAAGATTAACCACCTCAATATTAGGGTATATTCCATATGAATATTTATTTGTGTTATAAGAATTAAACATAATAAAATCGTTATATTTTTATCTGTTGTTTTTGTCTGTCAGTCTATGGTATAGTTATTTGTTTGTGTTGTGGTTATTTGTTTGTGTTGTGGTTATTTGTTTGTGTTGTAGTTATTTGTTTGTATTCCCACTCCACACTCAGACATTCTTGATAGATGTTCCTTGTCATAAAATTTTTTCAAAAAGAAAAATTGCGAAAATGTTTGCCAACACACCAACTGATTTAGGAATGCAGTTAATCTGAATCACATATTATTATTTTTAACTTTTACGAATTCGGTGACCACTGTTTGCCTAATTATGGATGATGTTTTCATTTGAGTTTAACAAGCCATGAAGGATCGAATGTCGTCTCTGTCTGTTCCAAATGGCTACAGTGGTGACAGTTAGGTGGCTACAGTGGTGACGATTAGGCGGCTACAGTGGTGACGATTGGGTGGCTACAGTGGTGGCGATTGGGTGGCTACAGTGGTGACAGTTAGGCGGCTACAGTGGTGACGATTGGGTGGCTACAGTGGTGACAGGCGGCTACAGTGGTGATGATTGGATGGCTACAGTGGTGACGGTTGGGTGGTTACAGTGGTGACGATTAGGCGGCTACAGTGGTGACGATTGAGTGGCTACAGTGGTGACGATTGGGTGGTGACAGTGGTGGCGATTGGGTGGCTACAGTGGTGACAATTGGGTGGTTACAGTGGTGACGATTAGGCGGCTACAGTGGTGATGATTGGATGGCTTCAGTGGTGATGATTGGGTGGTTACAGTGGTGATGATTGGATGGCTACAGTGGTGATGATTGGGTGGTTACAGTGGTGATGATTGGATGGCTACAGTGGTGATGATTGGGTGGTTACAGTGGTGACGATTGGGTGGTGACAGTGGTGGCGATTGGGTGGTTACAGTGGTGATGATTGGGTGGCTACAGTGGTGATGATTGGGTGGCTACAATAGTGACGACTGGATGGTTACAGTGGTGACAATTGGATGGTTACAGTAAGTGACCTGGATGGTTGGGTCCCATGTACCCTTGAGATATGGATCGTGGCTCATGCTATTGAACCATTGTTTTTCCTGGACACAGGAAAATATATACCGGTAGCTGTTGTTCTACAGCTGGAATATTGCTGACTGTCATAAAAACAATGTGAAATCATACACTGATCCAAAATGAGATTTGGGGAAAGAGTGAAGAGGTGGCCCAGTGGTCTGTGAGGAAAGAGTAAAGAGGTGGTCTGTGGGAATAGAATGAAGAGGTGGCCCAGTGATCTGTGAGGATAGGATGAAGAGGAGGTCTGTGGACAAAGAATGAAGAGGTGGCCCAGTGGTCTGTGAGGATAGAATGAAGAGGTGACCCAGTGGTCTGTGAAGATAGAATGAAGAGGTGGCCCACTGGTCTGTGAGGATAGGATGAAGAGGTGGCCCAGTGGTCTGTGAGGATAGGATGAAGAGGAGGCCCAGTGGTCTGTGCGGATAGGATGAAGAGGTGGCCCAGTGGTCTGTGAGGATAGGATGAAGAGGTGGCTCAGTGGTCTGTGAGAAAAGAATGAAGAGGTGACCCAGTGGTCTTGGGGATGGAATGAAGAGGTGACCCAGTGGTCTGTGGGGATAGAATGAAGAGGTGGTCCAGTGGTCTGGGGGATGAAAAGAAGAGGTGACCCAGTGGTCTGTGAGGAGAGAATGAAGAGGTGGCCCAGTGGTCTGTGAGGATAGAATGAAGAGGTGGTCTGGGGTATGGAATGAAGAGGTGACCCAGTGGTCTGTGAGGAAAGAATGAAGAGGTGGCCCAGTGGTCTGTGAGGATAGAATGAAGAGGTGGTCTGTGGGAATAGAATGAAGAGGTGGTCTGTGGGAATAGAATAAAGAGGTGGCCCAGTGGTCTGTGGGAATAGAATGAAGAGGTGGCCAAGTGGTCTGTGAGGATAGAATGAAGAGGTGGCCAAGTGGTCTGTGAGGATAGAATGAAGAGGTGACCCAGCGGTCTGTGAAGATAGAATGAAGAGGTGACCCAGTGGTCTGTGAGGAAAGAATGAAGAGGTGGCCAAGTGGTCTGTGAAGATAGAATGAAGAGGTGACCCAGTGGTCTGTGAGGATAGAATGAAGAGGTGGCCAAGTGGTCTATGAGGATAGAATGAAGAGGTGGCCAAGTGGTCTGTGAGGATAGAATGAAGAGGTGACCCAGTGGTCTGTGAGGATAGAATGAAGAGGTGACCCAGTGGTCTGTGAGGAAAGAATGAAGAGGTGGCCAAGTGGTCTATGAGGATAGAATGAAGAGGTGGCCAAGTGGTCTATGAGGATAGAATGAAGAGGTGACCCAGTGGTCTGTGAGGAAAGAATGAAGAGGTGGCCAAGTGGTCTGTGAGGAAAGAATGAAGAGGTGACCCAGCGGTCTGTGAGGAAAGAATGAAGAGGTGACCCAGTGGACTGTGAGGAAAGAATGAAGAGGTGACCCAGTGGTCTGTGAGGAAAGAATGAAGAGGTGACCCAGTTGACTGTGAGGAAAGAATGAAGAGGTGACCCAGTGGTCTGTGAGGAAAGAATGAAGAGGTGGCCCAGTGGTCTGTGAGGATAGAATGAAGAGGTGGTCTGTGGGAATAGAATGAAGAGGTGGTCTGTGAGAATAGAATAAAGAGGTGGCCCAGTGGTCTATGAGGAAAGAATGAAGAGGTGACCCAGTGGTCTGTGAGGAAAGAATGAAGAGGTGACCCAGCGGTCTGTGAGGAAAGAATGAAGAGGTGACCCAGCGGTCTGTGAGGAAAGAATGAAGAGGTGACCCAGCGGTCTGTGAGGAAAGAATGAAGAGGTGACCCAGCGGTCTGTGAGGAAAGAATGAAGAGGTACCCAGTGGTCTGTGAAGATAGAATGAAGAGGTGGCGCAGTAGTCACTGTGGATTTAGTGAAGAGGTGTTCCCGTGATCCGTGTAACTGCAGTTTGCGTTGCAAATCCGAATAGGTTGGATGATCTGCTGGTTGTGCATGGGCTCGAATAGTACGTTGTTCCGATTCTGATGCTCGGTCTTTGGGCAACATAGCCATGATGTGGATCATTTGAGGCTTTCTGTCGCCATTACACATGAGGCGCCTTCGCATACCAAAAATACTTGTTATCCTTTCTAACTCACTCGTTTAATGATCTGTGGCACTGACTCCAATCTGGTTGTAGCAAACTTTTAGAAACCTGAATAATCCACTCCAATATCAGAAAGTTAGAGAAAATATACCATCCATCCTACAGCCTTGAATACATCCGACCTTGTAGGATCTGCGAAGAAAATAATTGGATTTGACTGTTGTTTACAGGAATACCATATGGATGTAATGACAAAATATAAGACATTGGCTGTCTTTCAAGCCAACGAACTGCCAACGTCAATGTATTGAGTTGGTTTTCGGCATCACAGCAGGTTTCTAAGATGATCACACAAAATAAGTATGAAGGGCAAATGATACCAGCGATTTGGAAGATTTGTTGCCCCTCCTTCAAGACTTTACTCTAAATGTCTCACAATATTTCAAATTTCAGGAACCAGCAACAGTGTCTTTTTCCTGTATCACCCAAGTTGTTCAACTACAGGAACGTCTTGCAGAACATGGACTTGGCAGCTGATTGTGTAAATTCCATTTCTTGTGGGTCCCAAGACTCCTCATACTGCCACCTATCTGTAGGCCATATAATCACAGCTGACTTCTCTTTATCACCCAAACAACAACCTTTATCACCCAAAACTGGCTCCCACGGGAGATATCGCTTGGGTGAGATCAAGCGATATCTACATTGTACAATCAAATGTCATCACTAATGGCTCTGCTACTGAAGCTATTAGCAGTACTTTTTACACTTAAGACACAACTTATTACTGTCAACAAACTGAAAAAGGTGGAAGAATGATAACTTTTATCGTTGATAAAAGTAGGAAAACTCCTCATCAAGTCTCTGCGGTTTTTTTCCATTTTAATCAACTTGTGTTGATATATTTGATAAAAAAAAAGCACGAGGGTGAGATTCTCTTTCTCAGTTATTTCAGTATGATCCAAAATATCGTGAACAGACTGCTCCCAAATGGAATCACAACTTTACATTTTTTATGGATGCTGTAGAAGAGCGTGCCTCAAGATGAACCTGCTGAATGTCTTTCAGAGTGGGTTTGTCAGTGTACACGTGATGTCATTGGTAGAAAAACTACAAAAGAGGAATCAGAATTGGATTAAACACATACTGTCCCAGTCAGTTGCCATTCAAAGTATGGCTGCCCTACATGAAAAGTCTGTAGTTGTTCCAGCTGACAAGGCCTCAAATAACATAACCATTTGAAGTAAGCATCACCACATAATTGTTTGATCAGTGATCATTTTTTTGGCATAAGTGACATATCAAATATTTCCGAACATGAGGCCATTATGTTAACTTGGAAAGAAACCTGCCAAAGCCGTGCAACAGCACTGTACAGCAGTTGGTTTGGCTCTCAAATATGAAGACATGTCCATTTCTCCAGTGTGTTGGATTCCAAATCTCCATAAACAGCAAATGTACCACCAATTCCCAGTCTCAAAGATTAACAATAATCTTTAACACAATCAAGTGAGGACTTTCTTCATATTCACAAAAAGTATTTGAGATAAATGGATTTCACACCATGTGTATTTAGATGTTTGCAATTTCAGAAAAGAACCAAGTTAATTTTTGTCAAATCATTTAATTTGTCAACTCTGTACGCCACTGTCACACACGGTAAGCTTACGGAAAAGGTTCATTCCTCGATCCATGAGTGAGTGAGTGAGTGAGTTGAGTTCAACGCCGCTTTTAACAGTATTCCAGTGTCAGCTTAATGTGGGAGGAAAGCCCGAAGTGATGCAGGTCTCAGACGTTTACCACTTCGGTGAAACCCACGAGCACGGGTAGGGTGCTGACAAACCTAGAAATATAATCGGGGCGAACCGGGATTCGAACCCACAATCATATGTCGAGCAATAGCCCAGCAACTCCAAACATTTCGCAAAATTGGTATATAATCCGACTGCAACTTTTAATTGCCCCGTGAAGACCCTGGTTAGAATTGGATCCCGTCAGAAGCGACTAACGGGATCGGGTGGTCAGGCTTGCTGATGCATGTCATCGTATCCCAATAGTGTAGATGGATGCTCCTGTTGCGGCTCATCTCCCTGAGGCAAGGGAATTAACTAACTGTAAAAGTCCATTTCCCTAATCAGTTAGCTCCCTTGTCTCGGGAAGATGGATGCGGCATAAACAACAAAAAGTGAGTGAGTGAGTGAGTATGGTTTTACGCCGCTTTTAGCAATATTCCAGCAATATCACGGCGGGGGACACCAGATATGGGCTTCACACATTGTACCCATGTCGGGAATCGAACCCGGGTCTTCGGCGTGACGAGCGAACGCTTTAACCACTAGGCTACCCGACCGCCCCAACAACAAAAAGACAAATCAGACAAAACTTATAATTCCCTTTGGGGAAGTTGACTTCAAGTAGATGAGTGAAGCACATTTTCCCGAGGCAAGGAAGTTAACAAACTGTAAAAGTCAAGCTTCCCTCCTTGCCGAACTAGGCTGGAATTATGGAGTTATTTTTTGTCTGGATTAACGAGTCTTTGCAAATTTCAATCAAAATCGCATAACGAAACCAACATCCGGTTCGCAAACTGTCGTGCAGATTTTGGTCGATTGTAGGATTTGCAGATCATGTGTACCGTCTACTTAGCGTCAACATATATTTTCCAGATATTGCCATGTTTTCGATCAAGGGGCTCACGTGATTTGATGCACTTCGCAAAGTAAGACACGTTTATTGGAATATAGATCTTGATTTTCTAGCCCATTTTGGTTGGCGTCTGTATTCAGATATGGCTATATGTAATTACTTCAGGATATTTTATGCCAGATTTTGCAAGCTGGTCTGTCATTACATTACCACGTAGTCCAACATGAGCTGAAATCCACACTATATCACATGTTGTGTACTTTGAATTCAAATGTGTGCCCAGCATACAATATCACTTCTGATCCATTGGGGGTGGTGGGGTAGCCTAGTGGTTAAAGCGTTCGCTCGTCACGCCGAAGACCCGGGTTCGATTCCCGACATGGATACATTGTGTGAAGCCCATTTCTGGTGTCCCCCGGAATATGGCTGCAATATTGCTAAACGCGGCGTACAACTATACTTACTCACTCACTAGTGGTTGAAGCGTTCGCTCGTCACGACGAAGGCCCAGGTACTTTGAGTACTTATATACATATGAGAAATTAACTGTAATAATTTGAAAAAACGGTGTTTTGAAGCTTATTTTGAGTAGTTATATTTAAAGTTTCCTCCACATTGCTTTGGTGTCTCAATGTGAGCCGGATGACAATTGCTGCACCCAGTTTTGCATCGCGTATGACTTCTTAATGTAATATTCAACACATTACTTTTTGAAAATCGATGCAGAATTAAAACATGAATCAAAACATTGGTATGCACATCGCGTATCGTCAGCTTTCAATTCGCGATGCATCGATATATCGACGGATTGTGGCACCCCTAACACTTACCATATATGTATGTTTGTTTTGTTTGATTGTTTATTGTTTAAATCCGCACTCAGCAAAATTCCAGCTTTATGACGTCGGTCTGTAAATAATCGAGTCTGGACCAGACAATCCAGTGATTGAAATCATGAGCATCGATGTATACAATTGGGATTCAAAGACATGCATCAACCAAGCCTGATCACCCGATCCCGTTAGTCACTTCTTACGACAAGCATCGTCGCCTCTTAAATTATGGCAAGCTTTGGTTGCTGAAGACCTATTCTACCCCGGATCTTCGCGTGTATGTATGGAAATAGGCATATACGGTGTATAAACGAACGCGAGGGGCACGGGTGGCCCAGTCGTCTAAGTGGCGATTCGCTGTGCAGAGTTGCGTCCCTTCGGTACGCCAGAAACCTATGATTGTGGGTTCGAATCCCGGTCCGCCCCGATTATGTTTCAAGGTTTGTCAGCACCATACCCGTGCTCGTGGGTTTCACCGAAGTGGTAAACGTCTGAGACCTGCATCACTTCGGGCTTTCCTCCCACATTAAGCTGACACGCCGCGATATAACTGGAATACTGTTAAACGCGGCGTCAAACCCAACTCACTCACTCAAAACGAGCGTAATTAAAAATCCCGGCCGACTTCTACTATGAACGTAAACAACTGTACTGACCTAACTCTCAAGGTCACTTTAAATCGTGCCTTGTGTGCAGTCAACACATTCGTGACATTGTCTCTACATAAACAGGGTAAAATATTTACAGTTATGGGGCATATATTTGAGCAGTAATTCTCTAGCCTAGTTGACACAGGCTGATTTGAGTCAATATTTGAATTGTGTGATGACCCCAAATTTGTTTCGGTGTCAGATTTTCTGAGAAGAAGATACACAATAACTTTGAAATACAAAAGGGGTTTGTCATACATCCTGTTCTCGTGGAAACACGTTTACATGAATACAAGCAAGTTTACGTGCAGGTTTGCGTCACGACCCGAGTGATGCACAGTCTTCCCATGAGTTGTGGTGGAAAATATTGAAAGGGAGGTAACTCCTGATGGCGTGTATCCTGTGTCGATTGGATTTCACATGCGATCTCATAGTTTGTGTTTGTGTTCGTTTTGCTGTAGTTTTTCTCAACCTCTGTCATGAATTTTTCACCATTAATTGAACATTAAGGTAAGTAAAAGTCGAAACGCCAATGATAAATATATATTTTGGTGAAATTGGTCGTAGTTCTCTGTCTGAAGTTTGCAAACACTTCGTACATAAACGATCGCCAGCTCAGCCGGGGGCTTGTTGGGGAACCAGCGTCTAAATGTGTGGTTTATATATACATATAGGTCAAATGCACGATTGTCCCGATTTCCCACTGGTGATTACGCATTATATTGCTAAAAGCGGTAACTGGTTTCATAACACTGTTGACAAACAATTGTCGCGATTGTTTGGAAATAAAGATAGCTGTTCCAGTTCGACAATGGCCAGCCAATCCGTGTTGTCGCAATGTTTGTCAACATTGTAGGTAATGTCATGACACGTGACATATTCTTAACAATGGGGTAACGTTATGGAATACCCGTCCGCCTTGTGGTTCAATGTCGTATTGTTGGTCGAACACGTATCAGACTAGATCATTACTGAAGAAGAACATAATATTTATGTGTGCGTTACACTATTTTTGTTCGTGTATCGCATTGTTTACACAAACAATCAAATATAATGTACAGCACACATACAATTTATGCTCTTTATGTATCGCATTGTTTAGTACACAAGTATGTGTTCCAACGTTTGCAGTCGAGGTGGAGACATTGTGTAAATTTGATTTCACCGTCTGGAATTGAGAGATTGTATTTGTTGTTTGTTTAAATAAAGGTAGTCATTTGGAGTCATATTATGAATATTGTGGGGCCAGTACATAGACCATTCTGAAGAATTGTTTATAAACAATGGCCAATAATCCCAGAGCTCACTTGGGTCTGCTCACTTATCATGCTTATTAAGCAGAGAAGACTCTGCTCCAGTGGGTGGTCTAGTCACAGACTTTTCTCTTGTTTGCAAACAAACACACTTTTTCTGAAATAACAGCAGACAGGCCTACCGTATTTGACGTAAAAAACGCCCCGCTCTAATAAGCGCCCACGGCTGTATGTGCTAATATATTGGCTAGTGTACAATCCCAATTAGCACCCCTTCCGATTGATCAATGTTCACAAGACTTATTAATTCGCGTACAATACGCACTCGTGTGTTTGTTATATGCACCCTTAATTATGGGTAATTAATTTCTAGAAAAATATGTCTGTCGTACCTAAACATTTCAGGATGTCAGCATTAACCACGAAATGTATCTTTTAACTCTGTTCTTTTTCACCCAAATAATATTCTAATAAGAGCCCCCCTATTTCTAATTTTGAGAGCGCCCTGGGCGCTTATTACGTCGATTACGCTAATTGAAACCTTTCGGTGCGCTTTACATATTGTTTTGAATAATTATACATATACATTACTACAACTGCAACAGTTAGGTGCATGACAATGTATCGTTATACACCAAAGTGACTGCTAGCTCAGGGCTTCGATGACAGCATGTGGAGTATAATATGCAAATGGAAATAGTTTTACACATTTTAGGATATTTTCTCAATTTCATGACATATGTTTGTCTAAATGTGTAGACTCGTCGAAAATGAAATAGATGTTAAACACATTAATAGTGGACTGTGTTAACTGTGATGTTACAGAGGTACTAGGCTGATTTTTTTTGTAATTTGGGGTCCATAAAACATGTTATATAAATTAGGGAGGGGGGTCCTCAGATCTCAGACTTTGTAGTTAGTACTGCTTGAATGACACAATAATGTATACTATGTTTACATTTTCTGTCACATTAATTCACTTCCAATTTGTAGCAAGACTGAAGCTTTGAGAACTGGTACCCGAGAAGGTCCATGGTAGAATAGGTCTTCAGCCAGCCACCCCCGCAGTATAAGGCGACTATGCTTGTCGTTAGAGGCAATTAGCGGGATCGGGTGGGCAGGCTCGCTGACTTGGTTGATGCATGTCATTGTATCCCAATTGCGAAGATCAATGCTCATGCTGACAATCGCTGGATTGTCTGGTCCAGATTATTTACAGACCACTGTCATATAGCTGGAATATTGCTGAGTGCCGCATTACAAAACAAACAAAACAGAATTATAGCTTTCAAGTGCTACTTGTCAATGACGACCATCCTTGACCTCGGCACAATTTAGTTGTCTTGTACACACACATGTGCATGAACATCTTTATGTACGAAATATATGTGAAAACATTTTTGGGCTGTGTATTGGCCAAAAATTTGTATTGCATTTGCAATATATTGCAATATAGGTACTGTAAATGTTGAAATTAACGCGAGCGTGAATTAAATGCGAAAAATGCGAGTGGTTTTGGCTCGCATTGTTAAACATCACATTTATATCAACAATAAGACATTTTGTTTGGCAGAAATACCAACTTAGACATACGCTGAAAACAAACATCACTGTTTATTGAGCAGCACTTGTAACAAGTATATAAACAATGTAATTCAAACACTAATTACATCCTGTGAATTGTCACTGCTGGGGTCATGACAAGAGTTCTACTCACTTATGTCATCACTGATCACACATGCAAGTCCAGACAGACGCCACCCACGTAACACAGTGTCTTTGTTCTTTGCGACTGCGTCAAAGGTCGACACGAGCCAACGGGCATGTATTGTTTTAGCAGAAGTACACTACTCAGCGCTGAAAAAGCAGTTCTATTTGGTGTGTGATTGGATGAATGTAAGGTTGGATTAAGGTGAGGATTCTCCGGTAAACCTGACAGAGGACGTTTTCTTTAGATAACATATCCACTGATGCTTGAGAGGAGGGGGTGTCACATTCATATTGAGTCGCATTTTTGGCAAGGGGCCAGCGTTGCATTCTTTTGGAGATGCATTAATTTCACATTAAATATACAGTATATACTGTGATGCATGTTGCAATTTTTTTTGGACCTGAGGTTTATGACAGTGATTGACACTGATTGTGCACGCAGATCCTATTGTCTACTACTGAAGTAGACCCGTGAAGATTCCGGGGTAGAATAGGTCTTCAGCAACCCATGCTTGCCGTAAAAGGTGACTATGCTTGTCGTAAAAGGCGACTAACGGGATCGGGTGGTCAGGCTCGCTGACTTGGTTGATTCATGTCATCGATCCCAATTGCGTGGATCGATGCTCATGGTATTAATCACTGGATTGTCTGGTCCAGACTTGATTATTTACAGACCACCGTCATATAGCTGGAATACTGCTGAGTGCGGCGTTAAACAACCAACCAACCAACTACTGAAGTAAATATTACGATGTCAAAGTACATCATTTGTGACATAATTTCTGTATAAACTTTAGCATGTTTAGGGTGAGAGATACAAATAATAACAAATGCTGTATTTTGTTACCAATATACCAGAACACAGAAGAAATATGGCTATACACATCATATGAAAAGCATAATGCAGTATAACATTATACTGGTAATACGGTGCAGTCCTAATAATCTTAAGCCTCGTTTTACCTCGTCTCATGCAGTCAGTGAAGTGTTAATATGAAAAGCTAATCCCTGATTCAAACCTTTCCTTGTGCAGAAATTTTATATGGGATATAAGCTATGACAACTGCCAAGGCACATTTGTCCATACAAAACTTGATTCTTTGACTCTTTTCCTTGTATTTCAGTTTGTATTGATACCTATGCACAGTATTTTGTATTGAAGTACACATGCATATACAATGTGAGCGAGTAATGGAGGTCCCTAGCCTGCAGGAAATGTCATTGCTTAATGAAACTGGTTTACTTAATTACTTAACTGGTGCGTTAAATTTTACCTCACTCCCTTGCCTGCAGAAAATGTCATTACTTAATTAAACTGGTTTACTTAATTACTTAACTGGTGCGTTAAATTATAACTCACTCCTTAGCCTGCAGCAAATGTCATTACTTAATATCGATCACTGGATTGTCTGGTCCAGACTTGATTATTTACAGACCGCTGTTATATAGCTGGAATATTGCTGAGTGCCGCATAATACGACAAACAAACAACTAAACATTGCAGGCACAGATAATATACCTCTTAATTTAGGAAATTAAGAACTTTAAACAAAATCCTAATTTTGGACAAAGTCTTGATTTGTTTCCAATCTGCCTGCAAAGGCTGCATAGTTGTTGCCTTCATTGTATTATCTCTGGATTATAGACAGCCAAGGTAAAGCAACAATCACTGACAAATTATTTTTTTTAGATTTCCCTTCAAATTTATAAAAAGATGTGAGGTGGAAGAGATTATGCTTTTTGTAAGTCTTGTTATAAAAAAGGACTGATCATTTTCTGCATGATGTGAAGGATGTGCTTCGATCTTTGCCGCATCATCATGATCACACCAAAAGACGTTAAAAGATGGTACTTGTTGTTACCCTGCCCGATGCTCGGCATTAAGGAGATAAGACATGGACTGGTTGGCTCGGAGTCAGTATACTGTGTCTGAGTGGGGTATTCATGTTAAACTGTGCATCTGTGCTCACTGAAAACCAGCGTCAGTCCGCACTAGTACACCAGAGTCAGTATACTGAGATGTTTAAGACTTGAATTTCTCTTTGTGTGAGTTTTTTGGAGTATGAACCTTCATAGAGTGAGGGCCAAACTGTATGAACGTCGCAGCTTGCGTTCAAACAGTTTGGCCCTCACACTATGAAGGTTCATACTCCAATGAACTCACACAAAGTGAGAGTCAATTCTTATACTTTTTTATATCACTATTTTTCACCTCAAAGGATGTAGACCTGGATCTATAACAATTATATTTAGGATGTGTGACTTCATGTTTACACTGACAGCCATGTAACAACCAGCTGTTTCGCAGATTAAATTGGTTCCTCTAAATGAGAGGTGACATGAGCTTAACATGCTCAACAGGCACAACTTTAGTAGCTTCTGTACAACAAATGTACACAAATAATATCCTCACTAGATGAGAAAGGTCTGTTAAGGACAACCTCAGTAAGTCAGTCACAATGACAGTGCGTCATAATACATTTACATCAAGTATGAGATGTCAAAATGGCCGACATGATTAACGTGATGGGAGAGATTTCAGAATTTTCTAATGAACCTGTGGCTATTACAGGTGTCAGTCATCACAGATCAATTGGCCAATCACTGTAAGGTGAATGTAAAGATGTGTCAAATAGATACTAAGGTACATTCATGAAAAACGTATAAATGTCAAATTGTGTCGTTCATACACTTATAAACACCAGTTTCGCGGTCATGTGACCGACCACTTGTCCAACGGAAAACCGTATATCGTGTAAACTTCAAACTAAAAAATTATTAGTAGATGACCAGGTGGTGGAAACACGAATACATTCATACACGTGAAACACAAGTGTCAATATATGTGGTGTCACGCTAGGCAAGTGACAAGTTCCAATGTGCCTCTGTTCACCCAGCAGGGAATGGGTACCTGATATGTGAGGTGGATGTGAAAACCTTCTAGTACCCATAGGCAGTCTGGGTTGCATACTCCCCAGGGAGTTGAGAATGATAACTGAAATGCTCCACTGGTTCGGGAACAAATAAGCCACAATTGAGCAGATACTTGTGTATATGGATAAATGAGGTATAAATAATATTAATAATCATAATCATAATCATGATAATCATGATAATCATGATAATCATGATATTAATTTTATCACTTGTGATTCTTGCAGGATGACAGTCTGAGAGGATTTTGCACCAGGACGCACAAGTAGGAAATAGATTTTACGCTGACAAATGATTAATCATCCGTCAAGCTCTTCCAATATGGCTACTTCTTCTCTTCCTTTTGACGCTCCAATTTCTCCACCATCATACGAGGAAGCAGTTCAGTCGCCCGCTCCAGAGATTCCCAGAATTGAAATTGCAAGCAATGATGAACCACCGCCTTCTTACACTGAGGCTACTAAGGATGATGTGTACCCCAGCAGTTATCTCCCTTCTGATCAGCCAGAAGTGCAGAGCACGAATGACCTCACAGGACTAATTATTGTTAGCATAGAAAGGGCTGATCGCCCCCGGCAAGGGAGGTCACCGGGACTTTTGCATCAAACCGCAACACAGGTAATGTCAGGATCCTGGGTGGTGTATAAATTGTATTTGTAATGTGTCTGTGGTCTGTAATGTGAATTATTATCCCCCGCCACGAAGTGGAAGGGGGATATAGGAATGGGTGTCGTCCGTCTGTCCTTCCGTCCGTCCGTCCTTCCGTCACATTTCGTTTCCGGAGCAGATCTTGAAAACCGTACCTTATTTCTTCACCAAACTTGGCACATAGATAGATCTAGTGGTAAACTGGTGCCTGTTGATAGTTTGGGATTTTTAAAAAAATTATTTTTCGAGTTTCCATGGCAACAACTTTGATTTAGACTGAAAATGGCGGTAGTCCTCGTTTCCGGAGCAGATCTTGAAAATCCCCCGCCACGAAGTGGAAGGGGGATATAGGAATGGGTGCCGTCCGTCTGTCCTTCCGTCCATCCGTCCGTCCGTCACATTTCGTTTAAGGAGTAGATCTTGAAAACCGTACCATATTTCTTCACCAAACTTGGCACAGAGATAGATCTAGTGGTGAACTGGTGCCTTTTGATAGTTTAGGATTTTTAAAAAAGTTATTTTTTGAGTTTCCATGGCAATGACTTTGATTTAGACTGAAAATGGTGGTAATCCTCGTTTCCGGAGCAGATCTTGAAAACCGTACCATATTTCTTCACCAAACTTGGCACATAGATAGATCTAGTGGTAAACTGGTGCCTTTTGATAGTTTGGGATTTTTAAAAACAATATTTTTTGAGTTTCCATGGCAATGGCTTTGATTTAGACTGAAAATGGTGGTAGTCCTCGTTTCTGGAGCAGATCTTGAAAACCGTACCATTTTTCTTCACCATATTTTGCACATTGATAGGTCTAGTGGTGAAATGGTGCCTTTTGATAGTTTGGGATTTTAAAAAAAGTTATTTTTCGAGTTTCCATGGCAACGACTTTTGATTTAGACTGAAAATGGCAGTAGTCCTCGTTTCTGGAGCAGATCTTGAAAACCGTACCATATTTTTTCATCATACTTGGCACATAGATAGGTCTAGTGGTGAACTGGTGCCTTTGGATAGTTTTGGATTTTTTTTAAAAGTCATTTTTTGAGTTTCCATGGCAACAACTTTGATTTAGACTGAAAATGGAGGTAGTCCTCGTTTCCGGAGCAGATCTTGAAAAACGTAGTATATTTCTTTACAAAAAGGCCCAGTGAACATAGTTTACAGGAGCTAATGCATTGCACACATCTGACATGTCATATTGGCGGGGGATGTGAGTATTTCATGCTTGTTAAAAATAAGAACAGTAATAGTAAGGTGTATTTACAGATCCATCAGTTGTAGCATGCTCAAAGTGCTAACATTTATTATTACTCTTGGTCAGTCAATGTGTGCAGACAAATTTGATTCTCAGCTCCCTGCCTTATGAGGAGCTTTAAAGCTTACAGTTACATCACAGTCACACTACCACCTCATCCCCGTGGGGTTTCCGAGTGAGTGAGTGAGTGAGTGAGTGAGTGAGTGACTTAGGTTTGACACTGCTTTTAACAGTATTCCAGTTATATCATGGCGTGTCAGCTTAATGTGGAAGGAAAGCCCGAAGTGATGCAGGTCTCGAGCAGGGGTATGGTGCTGACAAACCTAGGAAAATAATCGGGGCAACCAGTATTTGAACCCACAATCATAGGATTCTGGCAGGCCCAAGGGACTCAACTCTGCACAGCGAATCGTGGCGCCTTAGACGACTGGGCCACCCGTGTCCCCTTTGGGTTTCCGAGTTAGAATAGGTACCCGTCAACCAATACTGGATATAAGCGACGATTTAATGGATCTGGTGATTTGGTTCATGGAATGTCATTGTACCCTGATGACTTGGATTGTTGTTCACAATATCAATCACTAGACTGTCTGGTCCAAACTCGATTCCTTACTGAATGCCATCATATAGCTGGAGTATTGGTAAGTGCGGCATAAAACAAACACAATCTTGTGGCATTGTAGGAAGACAAATAGTTGTCCATTGGATGTTTACTACAGCGGTTTCCCTGGATATTAATTAATTATTACATTATGATCTGGATTATGTGGATAAAAAAGCAATTTTGCCCACATAAAACCTCATTAGTGAGATATAGTTTGATAGGGTATGATATTCAGAGCTCCAAGTAACTTGTGGAGCAACTGAGTTTTTATTTTACTCTTGGGTTTCTATCTTAATGGGGTTATTACATTTCCATTAGATTACCATTATTTTTTCACACATCTATTCATCACTCTATTGGGTATTCCGCAACATTAGTGAACATTTTAAGATTTAAAAAAAGTTTTAAAAAGTAGTTAATTAGCTCATAATTGGGTTTTGGATATTAGCTCCTTTGTACTCATGCTGAAAAAGCTTCATTGGGTATTTACACATGATGTTTTAAAACATTTGACTTTTTCATTTAATGCATGCGTTTCTGTACGCAAGTTAATTGAAAGTATTTTTTACTTATCCTGCATTACTATGCATTAAGGAGTAATGCAGGATAAGTATACAAATGTAAAAAATGTTTAGATTTTACTAAAATTGGGTTTTGAATATTTTTTGGGGGTGTTTTATGCAAATACGCTGCTTATCTGTAGTTCTGATATTTCATATGCTTTATTAATACAATACATATAATACATCAAGATGTATTAAGATTTAAAAAAGATGGAGATCAGGTTGTCAGTATGCAGTAGTATGACAATACAAACCATCTGTGAGGGACTACTTTGTGTTAAAAAATGCGCTTCATGTTGCAATCCATGGAAAAGTGTTACCAAATCATATCTTATGAATGCCTTATCGTGAGTTTGAATCCCAAATTTGCCTTGATTATGTTTCTAGGTTTGTCAGGACAGTAGCAGTGCTCCTACCAATGCTGATTTTTCACCATCTTCCCGAGGCAAGGGAGTTAACTGGCTATAAAAGTCCAGTTTCCACCCTTACCGAACTAGGCTGGAATTCCTGGGCTCGACCGTAGTGCCACCAGTGGTTATTACGAGTTATGTTCCTTCTAAGCCTCTCCTGGGGGCACGGGTGGCCCAGTCGTCTAAGGCGCCGCGATTCGCTGTGCAGAGTTGCATCCCTTGGGCATGCCAGAAACCTATGATTGTGGGTTCGAATCCCGGTTCGCCCTGATTATGTTTCTAGGTTTGTCAGCACCATACCCGTGCTCGTGGGTTTCACCAAAGTGGTAAACGTCTGAGACCTGCGTCACTTCAAGCTTTCCTCCCACATTAAGCTGACACGCCGTGATATAACTGGAATACTGTTAAAAGCGGCGTTACGCCAAACTCACTCACTCACTCTAAGCCTCTCCTATGGACAAATCAGATTCCACCTCTTGTATCACTTGCATTTGTTTCAAACAAAATGGTGGCGCCCAGTCAAAACGATAGTCTTACATAGCGAAGTGCATCAAATCATGTGAGCACCTTGATTAAAAACATGAATAGACTTGGAAAATATCTGTTGACAACGAGTTCGCGGTGCACATGCTTTGCAAATCCTGCAATCGACAGAAATCTGCACGACATTTTACAAACCGGATTTCGATTTCGGTGCGCGATTTTGATCGGACTATGCATAGACTCGTTAGCCCAGCCAAAATGTAACTCCATAATACCAGCCTAGTTCGGCAAGGGTGGAAACTGGACTTTTATAGTCAGTTAACTCACTTGCCTCGGGAAGATGATTTTTCACTGGCCTTCACAATCTCTGTCAAAGTGCACGTTGTGGACGTTTTTATACCCCTAGATCCCAAATCATTATCGATAAGTAGGCCAAATAGTTTGATTGAAAATGCATTTTGTCAAAAGTGATGAACTGGAAAACCCAATTGAGTCTAGACTGGCTGCTGTTGTGATTATTGCAATATTGAGAAATATTGAATTGATAATATTTTCCAGTTCATATTCATGTAAGTTACAATATTGTGTAGTTACTACCTTCAGTTACATGTCCATGTTGTATTCAGATCAGATATAACAACAATCAATAATTCCTTGACACTTGATATATTGATTATGTGATCAGTTGCCAGCACTCTTGCCAAGCCAGTTCATCATCTGAAGTTGTTTTTTGTGGTCACTTATTTCATGCATTTGCTTTTTGATAAAAGTAACACAAAAGTCTTCAGGTGCTTGTTTTGCCTGTGAAAAATTAAATTCTCGAATCTGCATGATCATTATGATTAACTATTGAAAGTGTCACATGACATGTATCATTTGAGGATTCACCATCTTCCTGAGGCATTGGCTTTAACTGACATTTATGGAAAATATTATTATTTTATTTTCAATAAGCAGTATTTTAATGGGCTTTATGTTCAATATCTTTTTACTTTTATGGTCGTGTTTATCAATAATACACTGAGCTCCTCAACTCAGCATCAGCCCCCCTCATTAGTCAGAAGCATCGGGGTAGACGATCCGGGGTAGAATAGGTCTTCAGCAACCTATGCTTGCTACAATAGGTAACTGTTTTTGTCGTAAGAGGCGACTTACGGGATCTAGTGGTCAGGCTTGCTGACTTGGTTAATGTCATGGTATTCCAATTGCGTGGATCGAGCTCATGATGTCAATCACTGGACTGTCTGGTCCAGACTCGATTATTTACAGACCGACGTCATATAGCTGGAATATTGCTGAGTGTGGCGTTAAACAACAAACAAACAAACAAACAAACAAAATCCTTCAACTCTTGCAATGTTTATTTCAGAACCGGTCACAACCAAGAAGAGATAGTTCTGGACGAGGAAGTTCTCCATCTGACCCTCGGGCACAAACTGCAGCCCGAAAGAAGTGGTCAGTCTGTCTACTTGGAGCAATAATGGGAGTGTTTGTTGTCGCGGGACTCATTGCTGCCTCTGTGCTTCGACACTATCCGTCATCCTCTCACGGCTCAACCAACCAGGAACCAACATTTAAGTTTGACTATCCTACAGTTGATCCAGCAATTTTAAAAGAACTTGACAACGTGAAAAAAGATAGAGACTTTTTAAAAACAATTTTTTCAACAAACAAGCCCTCCTACTATTTTGATATGTTTGGACATGACACTACTCCAGATCCTTTTTCTGGGTGGAATCAAATCTCAAAATGGAAAACGGAAAAACCTTCGACATTTGAAGAAGAAATCAAGAATTTGGAAAAAGAGTAAATGGCAAAAAGCAATTTAAGAATCCTTGAGTACTTCCACGGATCCATTCTGAATGAACTATTGGTGTCCGATGAACTTTGACTGGTGACATTGACAATTGTCCATTTTGATAGAAGTATGTTGGCAATACTTTTATAATATGAGTTATGGTATATATCTCCATGCGAAATATTCCTGATATTTAGATGTCGTGGTGATTTCATACATACATTTTTTTTGTCTGAAAGGATCTTCATATATCTGTGCTGTTCAAAGCAGCATGGAACCAAACTCAGTGTCTGCCACTCATATACATGTGAGGGCAGTAGGCAAGGTGTTTGTTTGTATGGTTATGTAATCAGAGTTAATGTCCCCACTTTGCTACTAATGTTTGAACCTATTGGTATCCTCTTCAGTATTGCTGAAACTGACTAAACGTTCAAAACATTCAATGACTCTTGTGGTCAGTATTTGGCTCTGAAGAATTTCTAAAAACTTTGAAAAATGTTTTTTGGCAGTAAAGTGCCACAGTTTTTAAAAAAATATATTCTTAAATGACTTTCTGTAGCAGCTCTGACATATTTTTCAGGAACATTACTAAAAGTGGCATAAGACCTTAATATATTCTAGAAAAAAATAAATTTGAATTAGTCCACACAGTTCTCTTATGTATTTCCCAGCAATATTAAAATATGCAAGATTGTCCAATTAACATGATTAATACTACACCTACACATATATTCACTCAATAGATGTGCGTTATACATGTTTTCTGGCCGTTTGGAAATTTGCAATATCTTCTCATGCATGACCCCATGGAGACCATGTCAAACCCTTGGATACAATGCCTACTACAGCAGGGGCTTGCTATTACACAGAGAGATACTGGCATACTCTGCCTGACACACAGGTACTGCACACCGATTCAAGAATATACTTTCACGGGCAGTTTCAGGTGTGATATATTTTGATATATTTTTATATATTTGGACAAATAATAAATAATTATTTTCCTTCAATCTGATACTTCATATGGACAGCTAACATGATGGCATGCTTTGGGGTTGTCTGAAAGGAATAGGTTAGAGTTGTGTTCGGGAGAAGTTCTTACAAAGATTCTGCACTGACCTTGAACTTGAAAAATATTTAAACATTATTATAGAATGTTTGTACTTTGGGCATATGGCAGTAAATAAATGCATATCTGTTAGCAAATTATTTGAAAATATATACCGCACTTACGGAGTAGAGGACAGCCGATTCTTTCATATGACTATAGTTAATGTTGTTATGAGGCGACCATGCTTGTCGTAAGAGGCGACTAACGGGATCGGGTGGTCAGGCTCGCTGACTTGGTTGATGCATGTCACCGTATCCCAATTGTGTGGATTGATGCTCATGATGTCAATCACAGGATTGTCTGGTCCAGACTCGATTATTTACAGACCGCCGTCATATAGCTGGAATATTGCTGAGTGCGGCGTTAAACAACAAACAACAACAACAACAACAACATTATCATGATTATGTTATTGTTGCATGACAGATTAACAATAGTTGTACGAAAGAATCAGGTGTTCTTTACTCCTTTAGAGCAGTGTATATGTTCATGCATGACAGGAGGGGCACGGGTGGCCCAGTCGTCTAAGGTGCCGCGATTCGCTGTGCAGAGTTGCGTCCCTTGGAACGCCAGAAACCTATGATTGTGGGTTCGAATCCCGGTTCGCCCCGATTATGTTTCTAGGTTTGTCAGCACCATACCTGTGCTCGTGGGTTTCACCGAACTGGTAAACATCTGAGACCTGCATCACTTCGGGCTTTCCTCCCACATTAAGCTGACACGCCGTGATATAACTGGAAAACTGTTAAAAGCGGCGTTAAACCAAACTCACTCACTCACTCACATGCATGACAGGATGACAGTAATCATATAAAAAGATTGGGCTTTAACTTCTTTTGAGTAGTATAAACTCTTTTATTTGGTTTATATTTTTACTTAGTCTCACTGAAATTTTCAGGTGGTGTTTAATCTTAGCTCAGGTGTATGATTATTGAATGTGCTGATAGTATTGTTGATGATCTGTAGGTGAGGAGAGCATGTTGTTGCACAAGCTAGCAGGCACATGTTCATTACTGCCAGGCCCAGTCATCACATTTGCTCATGGCACGCCAGAAACCAGATTATCCTCTTCCCAAGGCAAGGGATTTAACTGACTCTAAAAGTCCAGTTTCCACCCTGGGCTGGAATTTGTGGACTCAATCGTAGTGCACCAGTGGCTTTTACGAGTTTTGTCCCTTCTCTTCCCCTCCTATTGACCAATCAGATTCCACCTCTCATGTCACTTGCGTTTGATTTAAAACAAAATGGTGGCACTCAGTAAAGATGATCTGATCGATGATCAAGATATAGATTGTAATAAATTAAATCTTACCTTGCTAATTGCATCAAATTACATGAGCACATTGTTTAAAAACATGAAAAGATTTGGAAAATATCTCTCGATGCCCAGTTGATGGTACACATCTTTTTGTAAATCCTGCAGTCGACCGAAATCTGCACGTTGAAATCCATGTTGTTTACGAACAGGATGTCGATTTTGTGATGCGATTTTGATTGGACTATGCATAGACTTGTTAGTCAGCCAAATTATTACTCCATAATTTCAGCCTAGTTCGGCAAGGGTGGAAACTGGACTTTTACAGTCGATTAACTCTCTTGCCTCAGGGGATGATGATTGTGGGTTCGAATCCCGGTTTGCCTCGATTCTGTTTCGATGTCTGTCAGCACCATACCAGTGCCTGTTGGGCTTTCCTCCCACATTTATTAAGCTAACATGCTGTGATATAACTGGAATACTTGTGCTGAGATGAGTCCAAATTTACTACCCGGGTACCCACACCCCTATTACCCGACCCTTCCCGGGTACCCGCTGTTGGTGTCATGAGATAGGTACAAAATGCCCGATTGGGAATAGTTTGACCATAGCCCTGGTAAAATGTATTTAGATACAGGTATAAAATGATCTGATCATGCATACACTGAAGTTGACTGAAGTTTTATCTTTATTCAAACATATAAAGGTCAGAAGGAATGGGTGCATAGTCAGTAGGAAATGCGAACATAAGTGACTTGTAGTGTAACAGTAGAGTTCTAGATATTTTTTGTCATTAAACAATACATCATGTGACTAACCACAGGTATGGGTAGTCCTGTGGGTACCTGGGTCCTCCTCAGTACCCACTGGACCCGAGTACCTGAGTTACCCGTCTCATCCCTAATTGTGTTTCATTTAATGTTTGCAGGAAATCAATGGCATTTTTATTTGTGGTTTTAGTGCTTTAGGTATTACCTTTGATGTAAGCCCTGTGATATTATGGTCTTTTGATAAAAGCCATCTTGTATGACCTCTTGATCTAAGCCCTGTGGTTTGGCCTTTTGATATAAGGCTTGTGGTGAGGCCTGTTGATATGAGCCAGTGGTATAACCCTTTAACATAAGCCAGTGGTATAACCCTTTAACATAAGCCAGTGGTATAACCCTTTAACATAAGCCAGTGGTATGACCCTTTAACATAAGTCAGTGGTATAACCCTTTAACATAAGCCAGTGGTATAACCCTTTAACATAAGCCAGTTGCATAGCCCTTTGATATAAGCCAGTGGCATAACCCTTTGACATATACCAGTGGTATGGCCCTTTGACATAAGCCAGTGGTATAACCCTTTAACATAAGCCAGTGGTATAACCCTTTAACATAAGCCAGTGGTATAACCATTTAACATAAGCCAGTTGCATAGCCCTTTGACATAAGCCAGTGATATGGTCCTTTGACATAAGCCAGTAGTATGGCCCTTTGACATAAGCCAGTGGCATGGCCCTTTGACATAAGCCAGTGGTATAACCCTTTGACATAAGCCAGTAGTATGGCCCTTTGACATTAGCCAGTGGCATGGCCCTTTGACATTAGCCAGTGGCATAACCCTTTGACATAAGCCAGTGGTATAACCCTTTAACATAAGCCAGTTGCATAACCCTTTGACATAAGCCAGTGGTATGGCCCTTTGACATAAGCCAGTGGCATAGCCCTATGATACGAGCCTTGTAATATGGTCTCCTCAATATGACCTAACATATAGCCTTTGGCCATAAGCTTATGGTGGCTGCATCCCTATTATATTGCCTGATCATAAACGTTCTCTCGTAGGGCCTCTAAAGTTAGTAAGCTTTACATTTCAACACCACAGTGTTGTTTGAAGTCGGTTACTGTGCGAAACAGGCAATTTCTACCAAGTGGGAATCCTGTTTGCGTGACCCTGACCTGTGGTATGGCTTGGTGTGACATGTTTAAATGAATTCTCACTGATGTTAGTACAATCAGGTACTATTGGGGCATGCTGATCGTCATATATTTTATACTTGTATTAATACCAGCTGTGTGTATTTGAACATATGTTTGCTTTTCTTGGATATGTTTTGACAATAACCGTTCATCAACCGTGCTTGAACAATGATAAGCTTGGCTATTTCAACAATGCACATTTTGTTGACAGAGGGAGACACTAAATATGTCAAATATCAGTAAAACAAGTCACTTATTTGCCTTCATTCAACAATGGGGGTGGTGGGGTGGCCTAGTGGTTAAAGTGGTCGCTTGTTATCATGAAGGCCCGGCTTTGATTCCCCATGGGGGTGGTGGGGTAGCCTAGTGGTTAAAGTGGTCGCTTGTTATCATGAAGGCCCGGGTTCGATTCCCCACAGGGGCGGTTGGGTAGCCCAGTGGTTAAAGCATTCGCATGTCACGCCGAAGACCCGGGTTCGATTCCTGACATGGGTACAATGTGATTTTGCTGGAATATGTCTAGAAGCGGCGTAAAACCATACTCACTCACTCACTCAATTCCCCACATGGGTACAATGTGTCCCTTGTCGTGATATTGCTGAAATATTGCTAACAGTGGCGTCATTCCATACTCACTGCCCACTCATTCAGTATCGAGCATTTTTTGTGTTGAATGGATAATCATTGTTTATGAAAGCACCAGCCCTAAATTTAATAAATTTCACAAAAAATTAAAGTTTGATAATAGTTTTTGTTTTATGTGGATGGAAGTAGTCCTTTGACCTGTTGAAGAAATTCAATAAAAATTTCTTCCATAACTTATTATTTCACAAGCTGACTATGCTCTTTAGAAATTACTTTAGTGTGTGTAAAGAGGTTTGCTTTTGTAATGACATCAGTTTGAATGTGGACTGCATTATATGTCATGTCTGAAATATTTTTATAATCATTAAATGATAACTGGTTCTATCTGCATATCAAATGGAAAGTTGAGAGAGGTATTGTAGAGAAATGTTTTATTCATGTTTAATGTGTTAACCTCTGAACCATAACTCTAAATCATTATTGACTTATGATTTTTACGCCAACCATTACATATAGTCAATATTTGACAGACAGTGTTTTCCAAGCCTGGAGTAATATATGTACATATTCAACTTTAACTATTGTTATTGCTAAGTAGAGATTAGTTGGTGCACTCTTGGATGGGTTCTTTAATTATTGCTGAGTGAGGCATCAAACAAACAAACAAACAAATGAAACATTAGAACATAACACTTTTTGTAAATATTTTTTTTTAAGTAACATCTTTTATTGCCATGTTATTTAGTCAGTGTGTGAATATGGTAAAGCCATTATTAATCCATTTAAAAAAAAAAAGAATTATTAAAAACTCCCAGATTCACAATAATGAGACAGTGCTACCGAAATCTTAGTTTGAGAACTTTTTTTGTACCTTAAATGAGGGGATTATGGGTAGGATAAAGAACGTCTGAGGGTTTTATGATATTTAAGACTGTATCTGCGGGTTTAAACCGATTGGCATCAGCGCCAAGGTTTTATCCCAAGGATGAGAGTTTGAAATGTCATAAATACCCGGGGGGGAGTGTTTTATCTAACTTATAAACCAAGAAAGAAACTTAAAACAACATTTATCAACATTTAAATGTTTCAAACATACTTTCCATGAACCTTAGGAAACGGGCGTAAAGTGTCTGATGTTGGTACTTGAAAATGACATTCTTAAAAGCATTGTGATTTATCAGTGCCTCTGTAGCCTAGTGGTACAGATACGAAGATACGAAGGTTGCGTGTTCGATCCTCGGGAATATAAAGAAAACATTTGTCATTTGATTTTACATTTCATGATGTGCTAAAATTCAAAATAAATTTCTAGCAAGAAACGTTTGTTACAATCTAAACAGAAGTTGTGTTAATAAAATACACGGGATATTATATAAAATCCCGGGGATATCATATAAAATCCTTGAGTTATTATATTAAAATCCCAGGGATGT